TCTGACAGAGCCTCGCGCGCGGTGGTGGGCGGACTGAGCTCGGCAGCGGTGGAGCTTCAGCGGTGGGATGAAACTCAAGCGCCGAGCAGAGCAGGCCGGGCCGTCACGACGTAGAGCGGCAACAACATCCTCGGGCTCATCTCCGGCAAGCGGCAAGCGGAGGAGCGGCAGGGCCGCTCGTGGCTGGCGAGCTCCGGGTGACCAGATCAGGGGCGGCGTGGCCAGCGAGCTCCGAGCGGCCGGATCGGCGGGCGGCGTGGCTGACGCGGCCAGCGACTCGCCATGGCGAGGTCTCGTCTCGTCGCGCCGAGCCGAGGAGGAGGAAGGCAGCGGCGAGGAGACGGAGCACAGTGACGAGGAGATGGCACGGCGGCGACCCCGGTGGCTCTCCCTCACCACCCGCTCCTTCCTCGCCATCGCCGCACCGTTGTGACGGCAGTAGTAGCACGCGCAGCTGTGAGGAGACCACTCACAGTTTCTTTTTTTTAGCCTGAGGACACCACATCCTAGCTAGGAAATGCAAACCTTAGCAAAGACATGGGCCCCACCACCTTTTTTCATCCATGGGGTCTAGCCGGCAAACAAGGTAACCCTCCAGCTAGAGACGACGGTTATACAATTTTTTGCAAACTATAGATGGAGATTTACAAATAGACTTAAATAAATGTGTACTCCTATTTTGGTTTTGCTTTTTTATTTTGTTGGGTGTGTTTCATTCTATTTGAACTATACTCTTTTTTAGAGTGATACTTTGTAATAATTAGCTGTAGTTCTGGTTGAGCAAAGGCCAATATGTTTATTCCATTATTTAAAAAAAAGCTAGGAGCACTGTCAAAGGCATTAGCCTGTGGCGGCACCCCTACGTCTGTCTGACGTGACAGCTCCTGCGTCGTTACCTTCTCTAACTGAATTTATACCTTACTATTACTAACTACTCCTACTCTATTTTTTCTGTCCCACTATAAATACAACCTAGTACAGATTTACTAAGATATTTTAGGACTACGAATTTAAACAGATATTTGTTCATATATTCATAGTCCTATAATATGTTATATCTATTTTAAATTATACTTATATTGAGACGAATGAAGTATTTTGCATCCTCAATATGGCATCGTCCTGATTGGTGGGAGTTTCACCCTGTTTGTTGACTCGGATGAGGAATCAGGGCAACTTAAAATTTTATTAGTATCTTGCCTCAATCTACTAAGCACATGTTTCTTTTAGTGTTTAAATCTAACTACTCCTATGTGATTGTCTGTCTTGATTGACCACATGCCACTCTACACCTAAAGTTTTTGCTACCTCAAAAACTCAAGTCATCTCATTAGGTATGAGGGGTTGCATCCTGGTGAGTTGGGTTGGCCAGGGTGCACGGCATCCTAGTATGAATTGAAGCTTCAAAAGTTCCAATCTATCTCAGCCGGCGTTGACTTCATTGGATCATATAAATTCATATTTTTGGGTTGACAATCCTCAATTTCATACTACATTGACTCCACTTTTTTTAACAGTACGGGCTTATTTAAACATCCCTTTGACTTTTCCCGCTCTTCCTTGCAAGAGCAATTAAAAATCCATTTGACTTTTCACCACATATCCTGATCAGGAAGAAAAAGGGAACATATTCACAACACAGGAAACGACTTTTTAAAGTCTGCTAACTAATAATTGAACACACTGTCCAACCCAATCAAAAGCGATCCACCGCTGTAGTACTCCTGGAATATGTGCAGTCACTGGACGTCTGTGCACCACCCAGTCCAGGCGCAACGCATGAAGGACTTGAGATGCAATAGTAACAGTGACATGGTCCAGTACTCACAGGACAACAGTGGAAACGAATCACCTCGTTTTTCACCGTCTTTGCGTCCATGATCCACCTCCTTGCCTAACATTTCCCCCCTGTCTGTTTGTACGCGTGAAAACAAATCCGATTACTCCTTCCTTTCACGTTTGATTTTTCTTCTAGTTTGAACTTTATTAGATTTAATCAAATTTATTTAAAAAATAATATATAAAATATGAAATTAGTTTCAAATATATTTAGTTTTATAATATGTTTGTTTTGCGTTAAAATAATAATATTTTTTCTATAAATTTAATCAAACTTACAAAAGTTTAAAAAAATAAATAACTTATAATATGAAACGGATGATGTACTTTTAAAGCACAGGGACACATCCTACCGCTATAAAACTTAGTACCGAATTTATGCTACTAGGAAAAGTAGTAGGATATGTTGCTTCCTTCATTTAAAAATATAAGATATTTTTCAGACTCGTAATATTAGAATGTGTTATATCTTTAGAACGGAGGAATAAACTTAAAAAAGTTGTGTTACAAATATCTTAAGAAAGGTTTCTTTTGAAAAGGCCGGCGAGATTTTTTTCGAGTTGGGTGGATTCAGTTACCGTGACAGGCATAGCCGCACAGGGCTCATCGCCGAGCAAAAAAAAAAAGGAGAGGGTATCCTGAAAAAGAAATAATAAGCTAAGTTTTTTTTTTTTTGCCGCGACAGCGCCGTCAAAATCGGGCACCTCTTGGCCAATCACCACGGAACCCAACTACACACCCCAAAAGTCTCCGCTGCGAAATGAATACGGGGACGCCCGGCACCGGCAGAGATGCGTGCCTTTCGCCCGCGTCGCCGTTCCCGTCGCCGTCGCGGTCGCGTTCTCGCGGAACGGACTCGCCCGCAGCCGTCCGATCGCTCCATCGGGCGGCCCAGATCGCTCCCCGCCCCTCGCCGCCGCCGCCGAGGCGGACGCGCACTGGCCGCGGAGGCCCCCGTTTCGTCTGGGAAAACGGCGCGGGGCGTCCGTTCGCACCGCACGGAGGGGGGACCAGGACGCGCGGGAGACTTTTCTCTCGCGTACGCTCGCGTCGCGTGTGCGGTAAGAAAGGCGCACGTAAAGGTAGATCTCAATCATATACGGCGACGACTAGTCGACTACCCACACGCCGCATCTGTCATTCAGGAATACGTGCGGTATCATGGGTCTATACTTTCCCCAGAAAAAGGATTCGCAAGCATATATCTGGGTTGTACTGCGGCCGAATTTAGTTCCCAATTTCTTCTTCAAACTTTCAACTTTTTCATCGCATCAAAATTTTTCTACACATATAGGTGTGTTTAGTGCACACTAAAAATCAAAGTTTGATTAAAATTGAAATGATGTGACGGAAAAGTTGGAAGTTTGTATATGTATGAAAGTTTTGATGTGATAGAAAAGTTGGAAGTTTGAAGAAAAAGTTGGGAATTAAACCAGACCATAAACTTTAAACTTTCCGTCACATCGTTCCAATTTCAATCAAACTTCCAATTTTGGCGAGAACTAAACACACCCATACCCCTAGTCAAAATTTTCACCCTGTCAGATCGAATGTTTGAACATATGCATGAGCATTAAATATAAATAAAAAATATAAGTAATTACACATATTGCGAGACGAATATTTTAAGCCTAATTGCTTCATGATTTGACAATGTGGTGCTACAGTAAACATTTTCTAAGGATGGATTAATTAGACTTAATAAATTCGTCTCGCAGTTTACAGGCAGATTCTGTAATTTGTTTTGCCATTAGTGTACGTTTAATACTTCAAATGTGTATCCGTATATCTGATGTGACACGCTAAATTTTTACACCTCCTGTATTTAAACATAACCTATAATACTCACAAATCGAACTTCATACGACTTCAAAAAAAAAGTTGAAAAAAAGGCTTCAAAGAAATCAAACTTTATACAATTTTATTTAATTCACTCAAGCATAATTTTTTTTTACTCAAACATGATATTATGAAACATTTTTTAAGGAATTTTGATTCTAGTTAGAGCCTGTTTGGCATAGCTCTAGCTCTTCAACTCTACCTCTTCTAGAGGTAGAGCCTAGCCAAACAATTTCAGCTTCAGCTAAAATAGAAGTTGAGTGGAGCGTTCTCACAAAATGAACTAGAGAGGTGGAGCTGGGTTTTGGCTGCTCCACAACTCCACTCCAGACCTAATTCCTGGGGCTAAATTTAGTAGTTGAAACTCTACCAAACAGGCCCTTAGTATTTCCTGCTAATAACGGTTCAATACAGAATAACGTTATACTACATCCATCCCAGAATATAATGAGTTTTAGAGTTTGATATAGTTGTTAAGAAAGTAGGTAGAATTAAATGGTGAAATATTGTAATTAATTAAGAATTGAAGGAAAATATGAAATTGAATGGTGGAGGATTCTGATCAGTTGAGACAAAAATATTAATAGAAAAGTTTTTATATTTTAGGATAGAAGGAGTAAGAGATATCATTTCAATTCTAGCAGAACTTGGAAATCATTTTCCCTATTATAGCCTCCATAATCTGAATGTACTACCAGATAATTCCCAAAAAATCACACATCGATTCCACGATTAAATAATCTGATGCCCGCACTTTTCTGCCTTATATTAGATAAAAGTCCAACCAATCATTTTTCTTTGGTCTTGTGATCAAAATAGGTCTAGTGCAGCCGCTTTCACAAATTAATTGACCCCATCCCTCTCTCCTCCTCACACTCTTCCATCAGCCTTTCTTTTTCTTTCCTTTTTCCTCCCAAATACAAAGATTTTCATACCAAATACATGACCAAATAGAAACATTAGAAAAGTATCACGGACGAACAGAGAAAACCATGGCCCCAAAATGCTTGGAGAGTTCCCGCAAACCACGGCGCCCATTGGTTTCGAGATGAGAATGAGATAGACATATTTCTTTTGGAGCAGATGAAATGACAGTGACAATTCACATTTAAAAACAAGAAAAACAATATAATCAAGAAACACCAAAAAAGAAGGCGACGACATGTATCTTTCGTTCATTGAACCTCCTTTCCAGGTTCCGTGAACGCATCGGCCGACCTTTTAAATCAGATAACTGTTGAAAAGAAGGGCACAAAATCTCGCTACCTTTTCCTCTCATGATATAAACACCTGAGGCCAAGTAAAAAAAAACAAACAAACAGTGAAAAAATGGCTTTCACCACTTGATGATGATCATATACTCCTTGCAACAACTTGACCGCAAAAAAGCAAGGGGCAAAGCCACTGCAATAATATTTATTAGTGAGATGAGCAGGTCGGCGAGAGCCATGGTGTTAAATGAGACTACTAACCTACAAACTACTAGCAGTAATAAATTTCTATCGAAAATGCACTGGACATGGGGCATGCAGGGGTATATATGGCAAAAGTTACAAGAAAACTATACAATTGTTTCACCCATCTCCCACCCTTTTTCTCCCTTGTTTTTCCTTTTTCTTTTTATCACTTGAATCCTGATGATGCCACTGCTCCATTGCCCTTTGCTTATACAGTGCTTTGGCACACAAGAGCCTTTTCTTCCATGTGCCTCTCTAATTAAACCCCCCCAAACAAATGAAATTAACCATTACACATCTTCAGAGATCGTCTCAGTCCTGCCTAATCTCCAAAACAATCTTGTGTTCTTTTCTGAAGTCTCCATGACTTGTACAAAGCTTTCTAGCCAGAGTACTGCTGATGCTTCGCTGAGCAGGTGCAGTTAGCTCGGCTGTCGTTTAATCCCTGCGATGAACAGAGATGACAATTTGCAATGAGTAACTGTCAAATCTCAGTACTGGATCTGTGGATTGTGCAGCGTAACTTTGGATAAGACCAATAAAAAGTACCCTTCACCCTCAGTCACAGGGCAAAGCGGCCATGTTGATTTGGACCTCAGTGGCCAGGATAGGTTGACTAATCTAATTACAAGCTACAGATGATATAGATGGCGTTCTAATTAATTGCGGGATTAAAAGGGAGATTATAGCTAATCAGCTTACCTTGACCTGCTTCTGAAGATCCTTGATGTAGTCAACAGCCAAATCCAGCATGTCAGCAGTGTTGGTTTGCTGCAGGAAAACGGAAACGTTTCAGGTTTCGGACAGGTTAATTTTGGAGTGGTCCTTGTACTGCACATTTGCAGATTTGCTGCTACTACTGCTACTATTTGCTAACCAAACACTGTTCTATTGCCTATTGGGGAAGAGAGAGAGAGAGAGAGAGAGAGAGAGAGGTGTAGTACTCATCAGTACCTTGTCCATGTTTGGCACGAGTTCTTGCAGCTTCCTGATTCGCTCGCTGATCCTTGTCCTCCTCACCTATGGCAAAGATCAACATCACGGGGATCAGATCAGTCACCTGCTGGCTGCTGCTGCTCGTTTGATATTAACGAATTTGTGCTGTGCGGTGCGGTGAGGAGGGTGAAGAGGAATTTTGTTGTTGTTTTTTACCCGCTCGGCGATGCTGCGCGGGTGCGTGGCGCAGCCGCGCTTGGCGCGGATCTTGCAGGGCACCGCGTCCTGGAACTGGAGGAACTTCTCGATGGCCGCCATCTCCGACGAGGTCTTCGGCAGGCTGAACTGGTGCGCCAGGCCGCCGCCGCCGCCGCCGTTCTGCGCCACCGCCACAAATCGTCGTCGTCAGTTTCTTGTACAAATCATCTATCAACGGAATCGATGGGAATTTTGTGAATCGAACCTGGGACGGCTCCGACGAGTCGCGCTGGCGCTTCACGCCGGAGATGTTCGTGTCCGACATGAGCGACGACTCCTCCCACCCGGAGCTCATCGGGTACCCGGAGAGGTAACCCCGGCCACCGCCGCCGCCGCCGCCACCGGCGCCCTCGGGGCTGCTCCCACCGAGCTCCTCGCTGTCCATCTCCGAGATCTGCGACATGAGCGAGCCCTGCCGCGACGAGAAGCTGAGCTGCCCCTTCAGCCTGCCCCCGCTGCCGCCGGGGGAGTCGGCCGCGGCGGCGGCGTTCGCGCCGTTCCTGAACCCCACCCCACCGCCGGCTGCCGCCATGCCCGCCCGCAGCATGCTCCCGTACCCTGAAACCGAACAGTGCGGGACTCAGTTCCGGAAATGGAAATGTTCCCGAGAAGAACTCGAGCAAGAACAGTAATAATTGCTGCTGCTGCCGAAGCAAGTAGTAGGCGTGTGCAACTACCATTACCAAAAGAAGGAGAGAATTAAGGAAGTAGTACTACTAACCGTTGTCCATGTTCAAATGATTGAGGAATCCGGCGGGCGAGCTACTCTGCCGGAGCAGCCCGCCGCCGCCGCCACCGGCGGCGTTGGCGGCGGCGGTGGCGGCGTCAATCCCGGTGGAGCTGACGGTGCGGTAGAGCCCCTCGACAGAGGCCATCTGCTGCGGGTGGTGCTGGAACATCATCTGCTGCTGGTGGTGGTGCTGGGTGGCCATGGTGGGGTCGTCGGGGAAGTGAGCGGCAGCGGCGGCGGCGGCGGCGGTGGCGGGGGGAGACTTGTCACGGATCTGGTGGTCGGCGAGGAAGCGGGAGAAGACGTTGTCGGCGTCGGGGCTGGCGGCGCGGGGCGCGGCGGCGGGCGGGAGGAAGTCGTCGCAGAACTCGGCGAGCAGCGTGCTCGGCGCCGATCTGTACCGCAGCAAGCCCGACGAGCTCATCGCCGGCGGCTGCACCGGGAGGTTCAGATCCTTGGAAACCGGCGAGCCGTACATCCCCTTCTCTCCTCTCTTCTCCAACAAAACTCCAATTCTCCCACCTCAACCCACCAAATCAAACAACAACAACAACCACCCACCTCCTATCTCCGCCTCCTCGCCATGGCCGCCCACACAACCTCAATTCAGCAACACAAGAAAGAAATAAAAAGAAGAAAGTAAACAAGAAAAGATCAGCGACTTTTCAAGACGGACAAGCTCAACTCCAATCACTTTGCTGCTGTTGCTAAGCTCTCTCGATCGATCTCTCCAGCCTCTCAAGCTACGCTTCCTCCTCCTCGCTTCTTTACGGCGAGGAAATGAGCACACAAAAAAGCAAAAGAAAATACGCGAGCGAGCGAAGGAAGAAGTGGTGGTGGCTTGGCTTCGCGAGGTCGCCGCTGCTTTTGCGGGGTTGGGCGAGGAGGAGGAGTAGTTTTTTTTCTTTTTTTTTTGGGTTAGTTTAATCGGCGGATTGCTTTTGCGGGGGGATGCGATCGTGTGTGCGTGGAGCGAATTTTTATATATCGTGGTGTGGGAGTGAGCGCCCTCTCTCGTGGCTTTACAATTACGACAATGCCCTCGCCGTCGCGGTTGCTTTCGCCCCCTAGGTGCGAGTTTACCGAAATGCCCCCTTCGTTGGTTGACAGCATGACTTGCTCGGTGTGGTGCGCGGTCTTCCCAGTTTGCTTTGCTGCCTGAACCATCGGACTACTGTACTACCACTAATCTAATCGATTGAAGAGTTACTTAGGGGCTGTTTGATTTTCAGGGACTTATTTCAAGTCTCTATCACAGATATTTGGATACTAATTTAGAGTATTAAACATACACTAATTACAAAATCCATTTCATAACATTGGACTAATTCGCGAAACGAATCTTTTGAGTCTAATTACGCTATAATTTTGACAATGTGGTGCTACAGTAAACTTTTGATAATTATGAATTAATTAGGCTTAAAAAATTCGTCTCGCGGATTAGCTCTCATTTATAAAATTAGTTTTTTATTAGTCTATATTTAATACTCTAAATTAGCGTCCAAACATCCGATGTGACATGGGCTAAAAAATTTTAGCCCCATCTAAACACCCCCTTAGATGCAGGTTTAAAGTTTTGGCGTATCACATCGGGTATTATATAAGGTGTCGTATAGGATGTTCGGGTACTAATAAAAAAACTAATTACAGTATCTGTCAATAAACCGCAAGACAAATTTATTAAGTATAATTAATCCATCATTAGCAAATATTTACTAAAGCATCACATTGTCAAATCATGGAGCAATTAGACTTAAAAGATTCGTCTTGCAAATTAGTCACAATATGTGTAATTAGTTATTTTTTAAACCTATATTTAATACTCCGTGCAGATGTTCAAACATTCGATGTGATAGGGTGTAAAATTTTGGAGTGGAAACTAAACACCCCATGATTGGTAGGAATTACTCTTATCCGGTGTTGATCTCTAATCATACGCATCCATGCTGACGGAATTGATTTAAGTGTAAATATGACTCTAACTCATGTTATCATGTTAAGGCATTAAGGCTGATTTGGAATGTGAAAGCTTAAAGGTATACTGTAGTTAATAGTGTCACGTTTTATATATAGAGTGGCCAAGCGAGTCAACACTGATAGATAGTGCCCATGGAAAAAAGAGTGGCAATGACCAAATAGCATTATATTGGTTGCATCCAAAATGAATGATAGCAAAAGTCTAGCATGATGTTATAGCATGCTCCAAAATGGAGTAACAACGCCAAATTAGCTTCTCAAACCTACAAAATATTGGAGCTAAGAACAAGACAAAATTTTTTTTAGCCTCTTTCTTTGTTGGCTGGATGATTGAGAAAAAAAGTTCATTTGTGATGTTTTCCTCACTCGATGGAGTTTTTCACACTTTGCTTTAATTGTACTTCCTTAAATCATTCATATTAGTTGGTCTCCATGACTAGCAACAAATGCGAGGCGTGGGCTAAACGTCAAGGGCTAATATTTGCTGAATCCTTGTGTTTTGCAAAGAGGATAGCATAAAGTTAACTTTTAGTATCATGAAAGCTATGAATGAAGATAAAAAAAATAACTAATGCGTTGGTGATCATGTTAATATTGTGGTAACAAAGATAGAGCAATGACTTATTACTTTTTCTTTCACTAAAAATGATATATTATGGAGATATAAGCATATGGTTGGCGATATTGATAATATTTTCTTGATTTTAGTGCTATCATGACATATCGGTTATCACGCTGAACGATTTTATTGATAAATCCATGATACGACTATATATTGTTATAAATAGAGTTATACATCTGAGATAAATTTTAGAATCAGATATTTTCCTTAAGCAACACATTTAATCCACAGAAGATGCAATCCACCACCTTATCATGGCTTGCACAACAGAAAGAACAAATAACTAAACAAAATAAATACTGGAAAAGAAAAGGAAAGAAAAGAAACTAGTGATGGCTTTATGAAAGATGGAGTGACAAAGAGATGACTTGACAACAAAAGGCAAACCCATGGAGGGTGGCTTTAAACCAGCAAAGTTAAGCATTGGTAGGGCCCATTGCCCCATGGGCACACCTGAGCGTATGTTTTCTTGCCCAAGGGGAGGGGCAGAGCAGAGAAAACCACGTTTTTTTGTGGCCGTTTTAAGCAAAGAGATGCAGACTATTTTGGGCAGGGAGCAGCAGGCAAAGGGGTTTTGACGTTATCCGAAAGGATCGGTGGAGTGGTGGACTGTGGGCGTGGGGGCCGTGCCGGGATGTGGAATTCCGCTGCTCTCTCGTCCCGTCTCACGGTAAAAAGACAACAAACTCCATCGGTTAGTTCAGCTTAACTACTCGTCGTTTTCGTTAACACGTTTTTCAAACTACTAAACAATATATTTCGTGTGAAAATTTTCTATATAAAAAATACTTTAAAAAATCAAATAAATTTAGTTTTTAATTTTTTATAATTAATACTTAATTAATCATATGTTAATCATGTTTCTCGATTTACATGTAGCTATCATCCAAACCGGCTAGCCGAAAAGGACGTGTTCTAAGACTGTGTTCTTTTGAGTTCCAACTCACCTTTCTCGTTTTTCGCGTATACACTTTTCAAACTGTTAAACGGTATTATTTTAAAATTTTCTATACGAAAGTTACTTTAAAAAATATTAATCCATTTTTTTTAAAAAAAGTAAATACTTGATTAATTATAAGAATTTGACACGAAAAGTGAGTTCCCAACCTCATCTTCCGAACACAACTTAATAAGTCAAAGCAAAATTTAAAACTTAAAATTTCTAATTTAGTTTTGAAGTTGATTTTAAAATATTTTCAATGTATATTTTTTAGTATTGACTTTAAAATTGTTAAAACATGTATATAAAAGTTTTATCTATAAATTAGTTTTTAATTACTAATAAATTAAAAGTGTTTATTTGAAAATATGAGCCACGGATGAGGCTTAACTTTTTTTACGTGCAGCTGCAGAGTAGTAGAGGCTGAGGTTGGTGCGTGGATCTCCTTCGCTCACGTCTCCCTCCTACACCACACCGCTATACTACACCCTTCCTCTTCTTTGATTGATTTGACGTGCCTTCATTCGCCAGGTGCTAGCTTTGCTACTCGCGGCAATATTAGGCAATATTTAATCGGACGTTGGAAGAGATTTTCGAACGCGAATAAAAAACCTAATTCAGAATTGCTAACTATCATTTGACATATTTATGAGCTTTCCATCATTTGTTTTTTTAAGCCATAGGATGGTTTTTGAGATCCGTGCTAGCATCTAGCTGCTAATTAACTAGGTCCACGTTACTGTTCCTTGGTGTTAAACTAGCCGTACGTGTTTTCCAATGCTAATTTGTTTATTATCCCCTGTGTACTAATTACATCGTATTTACACTATAATTATAAATGTAATTTTAGTGTATTTACGATGTAAGTCTGAAAATTACACATGTAATTTTAGTGTATTTACGATGTAAGCTTGAAATCTACTTGAGCCCATTTGATCCCACGCGAGCTTTAGATTGTCCACATGGTCCGTTTATTTGTTTTTTGTATTTTGTTTGTGTATATTAATGTCATCCGTTAGATGTTGATTTAAAGGGTAAAAAATCTGCATGATAGGAGGCTAAAAAATCTGTCACATGATGTATAGGCAGCCCCAAACTAATTTCATAACTCGTCTAGAAATCAGGAGACGAATCTTTTGAGCATAATTAAGCTATCATTAGCGCATGTGGCATTTATGACTAATCATAGATTAATTAAGCTCAAAAGATTCGTCTCGCGATTTCCATGCAAACTATACAATTAGTTTTTGTTTTTATCTATATTTAATGCTCAATGCATGCATCCAAATATTTGATGTGACGTTTTTAGGGATTTTTTTTGAAAACTAAATCAGGCCTTAGGAGTAGTCCGCAATTTGCCGCTGTTTTGGACTTTGAGTAATTTTTTTGGGGGTTTATTAGTCCATTTCCATTTTTACTAAATCAGGCCTTAGGCGACGACGGGAGCGCGCAGGAGGCGGATCCGGCAGGCGGGCGGGCGACGACAAGCGGCTGCGGCTCCTCCCCTCCCCTCCCTGGCGGCGACGGGAGCGCGCGGGCGATGACGGGCGGCCCGCGGCTGTCCCCGCACGGATCTGGCGGCAGTGGCCGTCCCTGCCCAGATCTGGTGGCCGGCCGCCCTCCCCCCGCCACGGATCCGGCACGGGAGGCGGCACTGCCGACGCCGACGAGGCGGGAGCGGCGGCGAAGACCCGATTTAGGGTTTTTTGTTTTTCTTTTTGAAATTTTATTTTTTTTCAGTTTTTTGTTTTTCCGTGTGGGCGGCATAAGTAACCGCATGCGAAAATCGTGATTTTTCCAAATGATTTGTTCCAGACGGGCCGAAAGCTCCGCATGCAAAAATCCGATCTACCGCACGGGAAAATGCTCTGTGTAGCAGTGAAATGACAGCATTCTCGTTTGACATGGACACATGGTGATGGTTTCCATTGACTAAAACTATGTTAGGTCCAGTATATATACTTATGTGGCACTTCTATGATTCAACTACAAACAATTAAATTAACAAATAGGAGAGGAAAAAAATCGAAAGATTGTCAAAGAGAAAGAGAAAAATGGCACACATGCCTACTGATGTCACATCTCTTTCCAATAAAATTTTACCCACACCACGAAGTGTTGTAACCCATGCTTTGATTAGTCAAGGGTTATGTGTATAGCATGACACACTGAGACAGTCCAGACCACGCATACACCTTTGAAAGCTATCATACTCTATAATCGAATTGAAAGAGTTGAAGGAATAGTAGTAAAATGGGTTTTCTCAAATGATACTATGCAACTGCTCATCAAAACTCACATGACCTTGACATGCTCCCTCCATTTTAAAAAAACCCCAACCTAAAAGGTGTCACATAACGTGACCCCTTTTAGTTTGGTTTATTTTTTTAACGAAGGGAGTACACATATAAGCTAGCTACTACTAATTCC